CAATAAACACAAATGTATCAACACACCTCACCACTCCCTTTTCCTCTTATTAATATTGCATTTAAAAATTCAAGTAAAACGTTCAAGATTAGCATCTGAATACTAACGATAAAACAGCAGTGAGTCGTGTCCCATCGTGCACGCTTATCCGTCGGTGGTTTCAACAATACTTTCACGTATTCGATCACCGGTTGAATACCGATAATTGTTGGAACGATGTTGAACGGCGGTGGGAGCGTGGTCGTGAGCATAAAATCGACGTAAGTCTGAAAGATAGATACATCTCGTGAGATCGATCTTGCAAGCTACGTTGAGGTATCGCCTGGTGCTCGTGATTTCGAACCTCGGTTCGGGCAAATGTCCATTCGACGATCACGTTTTCCGTGACATTCGTCAGCGTGTTCGACATACAGGCGATCAGCATGTTCAGAATCACTATCACGCCGATGAAAGTGAACCCTGAAACGGAGAGGTCGTCGACGAGGTGGAGAATACTAGTCTCGATTTGTTTAAAATTGACATTCGTAACTACACCTTTGATTTAGATTGTCATACTTTTTTTTAAATTTTTGAGCGATTTAGATTTCTATACTTTTCTGAGAAAACGAGGGAGATAATGGAAAGCAGCCCGACTAGAATTTCAGTTAGGCATGCCTAAAGACGAATGTGGGCCCAATGCGGAAACGATTAGGCACACCTAAATGCTGCAAGCCTAATCGTTGCCGCATTAGGTCCTAATTCGGAAGGAACGATGCATGCCTAAGTTGGGCATACGTGGCTGGAATGGGTGTGGCCGAGCGCACGCCCAAGTTGGGCGTTCCTAATAGTTGCCCATATGTGGCCAAAATGGGCGTGGCCAAGCGCACGCCCAAGTTGGGCGTTCCTAATAGTTGCCCATACGTGGCCAAAATGGGCGTGGTCAAGCGCACGCCCAAGTTGGGCGTTCCTAACAGTTGCCGTACGTGGCTGGAATGGGCGTAGCCGAGCGCACACCTAAGTTAATTCTACTTGATTAACTTTCTACAGTGGTATATAATTTTCTAAATAAGGAGATTGTGAAATTATTACAATAACGAAAGAAATTAATTTGAAAAATGCGCGAAGAACAATAGTCTAAAAAATGTTACAATTTGAAAAGAATGTAACAAATAGCATAACTGAAATGGAACTTATTGACGTTAGAATGGAATTTACCGGAATCTATTTTAAAAATGCAAAAGTGGAAGTTCGAACAGGTTCGAGAAACAGGTTGATTTGTATTTTTTTTTTACCGGCAAACGATATGTAGCCAATTATCTCCGTGAACGTGTGATGATTGACGATGGTTTCGTTCTCTGATTCACCCGGAAGATTCTCAATTATCACATCGGCGCTTTCGATGGGGCTCATGCAAAAAAGGGCCCAGAAGAGGGTCTTCAAAGCGGCCGAGAAATTCACGAACGAACTCACCTGTTGGGTCTTAATTTTCGATTCGTCGTCGATCTGCACCATTTCGTCGTAGTACTGGTAAAGTTTGCACGTACCTACGCAAAACGAGAAATGCGAGCAATTATCTAAACGTCGTCTCAGATTTATAGAAAAATGAAAGAAGCAAGAAAATATGTAAGTTTCGAGAATAAAGGAAAAATAACTCATCCTGAAGAATTTTTCTTAATACTTAAGAATTGAGAATTAGAAGAATTCTTTTACTTAATATTTGAGGAAAGAATTTTTTTATTTAATACTTGAGAATAGGATTCTTTTACTTAATAATTGAGAATACGATTCTTTTACTTAAACCTAGTATGGTCTTCGGGTCTTTTTTGACCCATTGCCTTCTTATGTTTTTAATAGCTTTTACTGTTATCAAGTTTGTGTTCCTTTAACGTTATATTAAATGTTTATTTTCTAGGCTTACATGGCGTACTGGTAACAAAAATTGTTACGCATGAAGTCTTTGGGTCTTTTTTGACCCAAACGGAAGAACGCACTAGAGTTAACAACTGAGAATAGGATTATTTTACTTAAAAATTGAGAATAGAATCCATTTACTTAAAAATTGAGAATAGGATCCTTTTGCTTAATAATTGAGACTAGAATTCTTTTACTTAATAATTGAGAAAAGAATAAAAGAAGAATTTTTCTTGAAACTTAATAAGTTTCAGCACTGTGTTAAACAATAAACACTATTATTATAATTGGCAAATATGTGAAAATTTGACAAAAAGACCAATGAAAAATGAAATTATTCGATTCGTCAAATGATTAAATTATTCGAAAATGACAATTATTTGACAATATTTACCAGCGGTGAACGCCAAAATAATGATGCTGAAGAGAAAGATGAACTTGACCACGTCTTTGATCATTTTCCCAAGGGAAAGTTGAAGCGGGCCCAGATAGTAGTCCAGCTGGCAGACGTACAACAATTTCAGGAAAGCCATTATTGTCGCCAAGCAGAAAATTCCTTCGGCAATCAACGTGGGATCATGCTCGTTCCAGTATTTCCTCTCCAATTCCAGTTGCCCGTGTATTCTCACGTCCACAGCGGCGGTGATCCAATACAGGAAGGTCAGAATAAAGAGGAATATCATGATCATCTCGAACCTGTTGCCCATCAAATTTCTCGCGTTAAAGTTCGAACTTTGTCAATTTTTTAAACTCCACTCGTTTGAATTTGTAAAATTTTGAAAAAGAGAAAAAGCTACTTCAGTTTTCCCCTCCGTTTCGTAATACAAAAGGGTGCTCGAAGAAAATGAGTTCAGGGATGAGAGAGTAGAGGAGTCGCTCTTTAAAATGAGACCAGGAAGACTGTGGCACGATTTTTTTTTTCACGAAGTTGCAGTAAATCAAATATCGACAATTTTTCTGTCAAAATTTAGCGATTTTTTAATGTTCTAGAATACTGTATTTCGAGTGAATTGAACTTTTCAACGATTTTTTTTTTCAATAACAACAGAGAGTTGGAATATTTTTTTCTATTTTATATGCACGAGAGCATTTATTTCACCGAAGAAAGCGAGATAGGTATTCTCTTTGAAAATATTACGTTTTATCTATCGGTGGCGTATCATAGCTCGGACGCACATAATCAAAATTGAACACAAATATTTTCCTTTCATCTTTTCGAACGTGAGGGAACAGCGTTCGTTTCGTTGCAGTTCCTTTGACATACATAGTAGAATCTGTGTTATCTGAATTAACAAGGGAACGCTTTAATTAAGAAGAAACACTTGGCTTGTTAACTGAAGTATTAGTATCAAAGATGAAAGTGTCGCGAGAAGTTAATTACGTGTAGATACGATTGGAGAGTTCGTTCGTTTATTAAACATATTTTTCTGTTGATTTGAAATCACCTTGGATCGTTTTCAAATTTATAGACTACCTTATACGTTATTTCACGAACGTGCTTATCACCGTTCCTGTATTTTCCATCGCTTTTCTGATTACATTCCTAAATTACCTCATTCCAGTGCTGGACGTTATTCGAGAATCGAATAAAATTTTAAATTCGATTTATTCATTATTCACGAATTACAACTAATTTGACTTATCCTTTGTTACCTGATTTACCGATTCCTCACCGATTCACTTATTCGCCGATCGAAATCGACAAAATTAGCAAAATGAAAATTAAAGAAATTTAATTAAAAATGAAAATTCGCTTTATTAAATTTCGGGAGTGCGTAAAGGAGAAAATTAAGTATGAAATTAAGATAGAAGTGCACTGAAAGACTTCAAAATATATACCTATAGTGCGAGAAAATTTTCAAACCGTCAATAGCAACGAAAGGGTTAAGGAAAAGGAATCAAGATAATAATCATACCAGTACCAAGGTCCAGCGAAGAATCTCTTCGGTCCGTGTATGATGCAGAGACGAATCAACCCCCAGGTGTACGAAGTAACGTAGATTATCAGAATCCAGGTGTACGCTGAAGAATCATCCCGAAGTGAGAAGTGGTAACAGCGTAACCATTTCGATTTCTCTCCCGTCTGTCGATATCAGGGAGATCGTTTGTGTATACCAGAGTTAGGTGGTCCGCGAAGTTGCTCGCTCTTGTCGGCGTTCGACATCAGGAAAACGACGAAGAGAAACATCAAGTAGCTGGCGGTGGACGAGATGAATTTGTTGACAGGTGATTGCCAGAATTTCGAAATCTTCGAGTGGGGCGCGACCATGACCACGATCAGAATCACGGGAAGCACGAAGATGCGTAGCAATATGGTCAACAACTTCTTCCATAATCCCATGATCTTCCATTCGTACCAGCCGTCGATCCACTTGCTTGAAATCAGCTGGAAATGTGTTTGACGATGGTTGAAAAAACTGTTGAAAAAATAGCGAAACAAGATTTTCTTTTCTTTGAGAAGAGAATCATTAATTGATACAAATGGTTATAACGAATTGACGAGTAATAAAGTAAGCATAAATATTAAGTAGAAATGAATTTCAATAGTAAGAAAGTTTACGGTTTTCTTTTAAATTTTAAATAGTGCAATAGCTATCTTTTTGGTTTTAAAGTGGATCTTTAATTGCTGCATACAATTTGATATCGATTCATTTTCATTTGATATTTTATACTAGGGTGAATTGGAAAGTTCACGGCCTAAGTATGAAGGACTGCAGCAAAGTGCTTGAAATTTTTACCGAATAATATGTAATTAATTGTGTACTAATGTATACAGTTTCGTGTCTCTGTCGTCATTTTTCTCCCTTTTAGAGCTAGCGAAGTAGAGGTATTTGCATGGATGGAGTAGAGATGGACAAAATTAGAAAACGGACAGCGATCTAACACCTGAAGATAAAGGACCTCGCATCAAAGATCATTCGAGGACCTTGCAAAAATTATTCGAAATTCTAGCGAAAATCATTCAAGGTCCTTTGTCACCAGGATCATTCCTCGCTTCTATTCGTCTCTTCTCCGTCGCTGTAAACACCCCTACTTCACCAGCTGCAAAAGAGAGCCACGAAACTTCGTACGTTGGTACACAAATGATCACAGATTGCACCGTAATTCTTCCTACTTAGGCCGCGAACTTTTCAATTCACCCTCGTATGTACCACTTATATTTTTATGAATTGTCCAAATTATTAGTTCAAAGACTCTCTGTATAACCTGTATAATTTGTGCAATTTTAATTCACCTATTAATCAAGATTCAAATAAATAAAAGCAAATAAATTGCTTTTGTCAGTATTTCAGAGACACTCTGCATGGCCTGAATGATTTAACAAGATTCACTTCTTTCTATCAAAGCTATCAACAGTTCGGACCAGACCGCGTATTTACCCAAGTCAATTACACAGACCAGAGCAACCGAACCAGCGAAATTATTAAAACAACTCAAACGTCATAACCTGTTGTACATTCGGATGAGCCACGAACGTTCTCTGTTTGTTGTGCAACGCAAACAACAGCCTCGGGTACAAGAACTTGGACGAATGAGCGAATCCAGTGGACTGTTTCAGAACTATCTCCACTTCGTCCACGGTTCTGGCGCAACTGATCAGGTCGGTAGCGAATTGCGTAATTGTCTATGGAGAAAGATAAACACATCTGTAAAATTAACCCTTCGACAGTTTATCTGAAGTGAGAATCTAGCAGAGTTTCATTTTCAGGAAGAAAGTTAGAACGAGGCGAGACATTGCATAATTTCGTTAGGCTGTCAAAGGGTTAACCCTTTGCGGTCCTATGTCGACTCAGACTCGACACAAGAATGTTTCCCTTTATAAATGGGAATAAACCATTTTTTTATGCATTAATATTATACCGAAACTTAGTATTTTGTAGCTAATATCGCGCTGATATCTTGAAATAAAGGGAAACTACGTGGTACTGGCCGAGAGTGGCCAAATAGTGCGGACTAACTGGACTATTTGGACCGCAACGGGTTAAAGAAATGCAGAAGAGGAAACAACCTTCGCGAGACCTAGGTAATCGTGATAAAATTCCTTGTCGAAGGAGGCAGCCATAATCAGCTCGTAAGACAAATTAAACGCTTCCAAGATAGGATCGTCGACTGTCTGGCAAATGTAGGCTGGATTGGTGATCGCTTTGTACGCGTACAATCGCATCCTTTCTATCGTCAGTAGATCGTACTTATCCCGGTCTCTTCTGCGCTATCGAAGGAAGTGATGTGAGACTTTAGAAAGGATTGATCAGTTAATTGTTAACTTTTCCAGGCTACAGGCGTTTTGGAAATTTTCTAGAGTGTACTTTTGACAATTTTTCCCACACTTTTCCACGTTTGCACTTTAATTTAACACAATTTCCAAATTTTTTAATTTGAATTTTTAACCCTTTGCACTCCGCTGTCGCCGCCGTGGCGACATTGTAAGACATATTTTTAAGAAAAATTGAACGCCTACAGAGTATCTTCCACAGAGGCGCACTCGCGCCATTGTAAACAGCCTCGGAGTAGCTGGTAGCCCATAGTAAAAGTGATTCAGAGTTTCTGGTAGGTCGTATTAAAAATTGCGAGGAGTGCAAAGGGTTAAACTTTTTTGCGCCTCTTAGCGCACTTCTAGCCTAATTTAATCATTACTTTTATCTTGTAAATATTTCTATCTTAATTTAACGAAACACATTTTAAAACGATACAACCAAAATAGAAGGTTTACTACTAAAATCTATCGCAGCGAAAGGGTTAAAGATCGACTAATTTTTAGAGAAATTATTCGCGCCTTTTTTTCAACTTTTGAACTTACTTTTCTATCTTAATTTAATGAAACAAATTTTAAAAAAGTACAGCACAAATAGAAGATTTACTACTAAAATCTGTCGCAGCGAAGGGATTAAGATCGATTAATTTTTAGAGAAACCTTCAGAAATGCTGAGGGCCCATGTTCATTAATCATGAGATCTGTAAATCTTAGACTGTGAAATCTTAGACACTCAACACTCTGTATAAATCTGCTAATTTATAAATTGTATTACACATAGTCGATCCAAAGCCACCGAGTTTGATATCCGAAAATTTCCTTATTCTTCATCCAGTTTACCATCATTTCTAAGGAAAACTGGCAAAGAATTCACTTCCACACCCGATACTCTCCACATCGAAGAAAAAAGAAGAAAACGCTCCCAATAGTGGCATCTTTTCAACCGTAAACTTTATACTTGCAAATTTCCTCGCAGTTGCAGCTAGGCGGATGAGGTCTCGGAAGTATGTGGTTCCTTTTCCGAAGGAAGCTGATCATCTCGAAGTGTCCGCATTGTGCAGCGACGGCTAGCGGTGTGCTGTAGTCCGGAAAATCCGAGCTCTGCGACACGCTCGCGTACTCCAGACCCGGCGACAATTCGTTCAGTTTGTTTAAAATAACCATCGTGATCTTCATCTCGTTGTCCCTGATTGCGTGGAGGTGAGTGTCGCCTGGATCGACGTCAGGCTGGGACAGCAGGTACTCCACCATCGGCATGTTCCTGTCGTGGACGGCGATGTGAAGCGCGGTGACACCCTGGAAAAAGGCCGTGACTTCTCGTTAGCGCGAAAAAAAAAAGGGTTTCTTCTCTGGGATGAACGTGACACGTGTATTTACACATGTATTTACGTTTCGCTGTCGAGAGAATTGTTATTCTTGCCAAACGGAGATTTTCTTTTTCAACTGGGAATTTTTTTCTGACAATTTTTCGAGTACTTTGTAGGCAAATTTGGCAGTTTTTGTTCGAGTCTTGTTTTGGGACTGTTTTAAGCTTGGGGAGGGCTGAGAAAATTCTGGAGTGCTTATCAAAGTCTATTGTTCGTTTAGTTGAATGTTGCTAAATTTTTTTAATAAAAATTGAAATTCGGGAGTGAAATTTTGGTTGGAGGGTGAAGTTACAATTTTTGGAAATTTGGGCTGTTTTTAATGGAATTTAAGTATCGTGGAACATTCTGGTAAGTTGTGATTACAAAAATATATACTGTCAATTGTATTGCAAATAGTATTTTTATTGTAATCAATGCAAATTTTACATGCAAAGTGACCTAAGAAAAGTACAATGATTAGTATAAGCAGCAATTAACAATCACAATATCATACTGAGCTTGATATTTTGCACTAAAAATTTATTACATCAAAATTCAATCTTCCCAAAATTTCTCCAAATTACGAATCAAAATCAAGAAAAGAACGAACCCAATCGAACTTCCAACTGAAGATTCAAGACTCGTCGCGACCTTCCAGAATTTTAATACAACAATAACTCAATCTTCACGAAAACTTTACCCGACACCATGATCCTCCAAAACCTTTCAATTCCCACACAGAAGTTTTCACCTCGCAACTTCCTACCCGACAAAATTCCCCCCAAACCCGACCTATATACGTTTAATCTTCCACAAAGTTCGTGCCAGGTTACAATCTCCATAACACTGCCATTCTCACCCAACAACGGCAACAATCGACTTCGTTCCGCGACATAGAATCCCTACCACTTGCACGTGTCACAAAAAGGTGGTCCACGCTTTTCCACGATCACGAAATTCCTTCGCCGGCTTTTCGGTCCTCGTGAAATCGACTTTCGAACTTCCCTCTCTCTCTCTCGTTGTATCTCAGCCGTGTCCCTTTTCGTAGGAAGAATGGAAGGACGACATTTGTCGCCCATCTGCGGCGCGTTTACAGAGGCGGCCACCGACAATGGGCCGGCTCTATTGTCGCCGCCGACACACACCGGTCACAATATTCCCCGATATCCTGCGCTCTTTCAACCAAGGGACCTACACGCACCGACACAATGACACCTTGTGATATATGCCGGCTCGAGGGCCTCACCTTTCCGATGGAAATCGACAGCTGCCCTCGCGCCACTTTGGTGTTTCGACAGGCACCAGATTTCGAGACAATCGAGGAATCGCTGTACTTGCTGGAGGAATTTATTGGAAGCGGCGGAGTGTCAGATATTGGAGAAATTATGACGTGGTTCTTTCTTTTTTTCTCGGGGATGGGACGACGTTTGTTGTGTGTGATCTTTAGCTCTTGGTGATTTAATAGCTGGGAGGCTGTGGATTGGTTGGTGGATGGTGGAGGAAAGTAGAGATTTTTGGTAACGTGGATGTTCTATTGCGGAATTTAATTCTTTTAATTTTTTTAAGATCAGACGTGTTCATATGCTAATTAAGTGTATTTCTCACACAGATGTCCAATTTCTAATTGAAAATAAATAAAATGTTCGGTTCTTGCAAATGTAAGTATCGTGTATTTTATATTTAATACAGCCATAACAGTACAATTAGTTAATTAAAATCCATCAAATCGGTAAATTAAAAATGAACAATTCCTCAAAAGTTTTCCTCAGTTAACAAGTAAAAGACGTCTTTTTAGTGTCCAATAACTGCATTAGATACTTTGGTTCTCGCAATTGTAAGTATCACGTATCTTATATCTAACACAGCCGCAACAGTGGAATTAGTCAATTAAAACGAAATCAGAAATGAACAATCCCTCAAAAGTTGTTTTTGAAAAAAAAAAAGACGAACCAACTTAACAACTCGCACATTCAAAGAACCCAAAATTCCCACAATCGAAAATCAACGAAATCAGAAAATTGAAAAACAACAATCCCTAAAAAATTGCATTATAAATAACAACGAACCTAAATGATTCCCATAATCAACCCCTCTCGAACATTCTCGCAAAAGCACGGAAACTTTCCGCGCAACATCGAGTCCCCTCGACAAAACGAGAGCAACTATGGTCGCGCACACACTGTCGAACACACGGTGGCAAGGGGATTCCCGGATGGAATTTACAGCGGGACCAGTCATTTGAATAATTTTTATCGGTCCTCGGCTGAAACCATTGTCTTGTAAAGGACGGCCTGAAATATGGCCGTAGATACACGGAGGCGGCCCAGAGAAGCGCTTCTTTCGTTCCGTTTCTCTCGCGCCCTATCTTGCCCTTCTCTTCTCCCTCTTCTTCCTCCAGCAACGCAACTTCTTCTCCCTCTTCTTCCTCCAGCATCGCAACTTCTTCTTCCTCTCCTCTTCCTCCTCCCTTTCTTCGATCGGTTGCTCTCGGTTCAAGGCGGTTTCTCTGCCTCAAAGAGGAACGAGGGTTGGGCTTTTTGGGGAACTCTCAAGTAGGTGGAAAGGGGGGGGAGGTAACATTCCACGGGGGGTACGTGTACCTCGACGGGGTGAAGATCGGAGATAACGCGCCCTCCTCTTGTTTTCCTCCTTCGATTCTCCTGCGACCTGATCTCCCTTGCTTTCCTCCTCCTTCTTCTCCTTCCTCTTTAGCCTACCTTGCTGTCTTCTGCTATTTCTTCTTCTTTGGCTCGTCTAAACGGACGGCGCTGCTCTTTGAACTTTCGGACAGTGTGCAGCGTAAATCATCGGTCTGAAGTGACGTTGGAAAAAAGGGGTCCGTGGAAATTGTCCATGTGCGAGCTTTATCTGGGAGCTTCTGGTCAATCGACGCGTAAACGACAGACACCACTTACGGTTATGTTGCGGGAAATCGGTGATCGTAGATAAATCTGGCGATGTTTATGAGACTCCTCGGGAGAGCGGGTTGTGTTTGAAGATGGTTTAGAGATTTTTTTAGTTCTTTTTTTTGGGGGCACTTTGGGAAGAGTGGTTTTTAATTAATCAACGACACTTGGGCTTTTAAATATTTCTTTGGGTTGAACTGTAGCGGGATTGCGTTCTCGCAGGTGTTAGAACAGTTAGTGAATGTAAAGCGAATGTGAATTGTGTTGGGAGATTCTTAACGAGTTCACCCTACTGCGTTCTTCGTTTCGACTGTACACTTAAGACTTTCGGGTGAAAAAGGACCTTATGTGCAATAATTTTTGTTTCCAACGCGACACACGAACCTAGACGATAAACGTTTAAAATAACGTTAAGTAACGTAAATTTGATAACAGCAAAAATGACTAAAAATATAAAAAGGCGGCGGGTCAAAAAAGACCCGAGGACCGCTCTACCCGGTTAAGAAGAATGATTTAGGGCGGGATTTTATTGTGTAACGAGGAAACATACTAGGTTTGATAAAAAATGTAGAGAACAGTGTCATAAAACTTTGTCAATAAAAAAAAATTATACGTTAAAAATGTCTTCGTTGAGAATGTTTTTAAAAGCGGAGAGACAGTAATTTCGTGGATGTTTTTTCATATTAGAATATTTCAATTAACTTTGCATTTTGCAAGCGACTTTCAGTCATTTTAAAAGCGACTTGGAAATAATTTTATAACTAGTCATTTTTGTTCATTTCTTCATTTCAAAACGTTCACGACTTTTTCGCAAAGAGGTGCTTAATATTTCATATACCAGAATGCAGCACACATTTGTCAATACATAGGCAGTATTTAGTAAAAAATATCGAAGCATTCACGATACGGAGGTAAATATTTAACAAGAATATTTTCATTAATTTCTGCGATGAATATCTTACCTGAAAATCAACGATATTGACATTAAAATTCGGATTTCCTTCGAGGAACTGTTTCACGTCTGCAACATTTCCGTAGGCGACTATTTCGAAGAAATGCTGTTCTGAATCTTGCAAATATGGAATTACTACGCTTGGTCGCTGAAAAATTGACAAATTTATTAGTGACACTATGACAAATGGCAAAAATTCGTCATAATTCGTTAAATTCGAGGGAACGAATTTTCCTTAATACAAAGAAATTTCGGTAATTCTAGAAAATAGCGCGAATAACAATTTTTTGTTAGAAAAGAGACGAGCCATAACCTCCGAAAATTATTACGCAAAAGTACTCACAGTTTTCAAGGTATCTTCGTCTGCCTCTTCCTCCATTCTAAGCGCGTGTCTACTTTAAACACGCTGAATCCTCCAGAGAAAATGATCTTCGTTAACGTTTGGCACGAAACGCGTCGGGGAAACGTCTACTGACGTGTAAATTTTACAAAGGACTCGAAAGGACAAAGAAACAACGATTCGTTATATCTACTTTTTTCCTCGATAAAATATCAACCCTTACCGGTGCCGTTAATTTTACATTCAAGCAATTTCCAAGCAATTAAATCCCTCCCCCAAAAATATCACAGTTCATTTTTACACGATTTTATCAAAAAAAAAAGTCAATACGAAGAAACAATGTTTAATAAAATCAATTTCACCAAATCTCTACCCTTTCGCTTGATTGCCCTTTAAAAATATTCACTCCATATTGCAAAATTGCATTTTAAAGTTGAAGAATTATCCATAAATCTTTAGGTTCTCTAAACGCTTAAGAAACGAACTTGGTAAAATAGTGTTTGATTGAAATAATCACCGAAGTACTCTACTATTATTAATTACTGAATAATTCTTATACGATTCAACCATTCCGAACTTCCCTTTATTCCTAAACACACGAATAAAAAATGAAACAATCTCCCTATCTAGTAACTAACACTTCCAAAAGGTGCTAACAATCACAAGGCACACTGTTTTCTGCTCTGTTTAATGATTTAATTCAATCTATCGATGGTATATATACATAATTTATAATTTGTTCTCAGCAACCGCTTTACCATCGTTATAATTCATCATCATCCAGCTTTACGGATCGTCGACGAATCGAACTTGTGATACTCCGATGCCACGGATTAACTATACATCGAGGGGAGGGGAATTCGTCGTTTCTCGTCTATGAAAATACAGCAAATTCTTATATGGATACGATCTACAAAAAAAAAAAAAAAAATGAAAGAAAGTGTCGAGGAAACGCGGTGCTCACAGAATTCTACAGAAGAGAAAGAAAATGGCGGAGACAGCGAACTATGTACAATAATGATCTTCTTTCCTTTTTTTCATTTGCCTTGCTTTTTTTTTTTCATTCGTTCGTTCGGTTTTTTCCTTTTAAAGCGCGCTTAATCTACTTTTCTTCCGGGGTCGCCTCGAAATAAAGTGACAGGGCACGTAATACTTTTTTCTGCTTTCTTTTCCCTTCCTTGTCTGTTACCTTTAAGCACAGAGAACCAAAAAAAAAAAAAAAAAAAAAAAAGGAAAGGGAAGCATCGACAAGAGAATGTCAACGTTTTCAGAAAAAGAAGTCTCTATAAATTAATCGTTGGAAGTTTTTTTAGGCGACAACTTAGAAGCTGGAATTTCCCTCGAGATGTTGCAGGTCTCGAGACTCGAGGCGGTTTAAAGGGACAGTATACAACAAACACGAACCTGCCTCTCTGATTTGGCTGAACAATTGAAGTTTATCGCAGACAGAACGAGCAATTGGAGTAATATACTTTCGCATGCTTCTTTCAAGTTAGTACAAGCTGCGTTAAGAAACATATTGCCAAGCGCTTTGTATAGCGTGTGAAATCTCCCTTATTAAACGAGAACAGTCGAGCATTTTATCCAATTTATGCGCAATTTACACGTTTCCTTTGACTATACCTATGTGTACATGCAAATGTTTCTTTAAAAGAGAAAAATGTATAAAAGAGTATTTTTAGTTTAAATTCAATATTTTTTTTTTTAAATAGGTTTAAATAGATGATTTTATTAGATACATTTTGCAAAATAAATAAGTTCGATTACCGTTCTTCGTAAATAATCTAAGAAACAATAGAGTTAAGAGAGATATTGTTATTTTCATGCTTCTGTAAAATATATTGCAAGTAGCTTTCGCAACATTCGTTCCTTTATACTTTCAATAATTGCAAAATTATAGTCAGGAATAGACTGAAACACTTTTTCAAAATCTTACAAACACACACGATTGTATACTTACACGGAAAATCCGAAAAATCTCAAGATCTATAAAACGTGTTCTACGAAAGAAGAAATACCCAAGAAACCGATAAAATGCAGAACTGTGGCCAAGCTTAATTCATGCTTTCGCGTTAAAATGCGCCACGTAGCAAAAGGAAGCGTTCGATCGCTGAAATTTTCCAACAAACGTTAATTTACAAAAAACAAAGAAAAAGCGCGTACTTTCTACACCGCGCGGAAAACGCAGAATCGGAAACACTTTTCAAGCATTTCGAACGTTTCGCGGGATACAATTAGAAAAAAAAAAAAAAAAAAAAAAAAAAAAAAAAAAAAACACAGAAGAAGAAAACGTCAAGCCTATCGCGGTAACAAAGTTCCATAAATAATATTTCCAAACGTGCACATCCCTTCACTTCCGTCTTTTTATCGACGAACAGCTCGCACGCGACTCTTCTCGTCACATTTAACCGGGCTCTGTCGCAGATCCATCTCAGAAAACACAGTTCGCGGGCACGTTCGCGGAGAAACGAGAAAGAGAAGAAGAAGAAGAAAAGAAGAAACAAGAATTACAATTACATTATATACCCGTATTGTACACACGCTACGGTTATCGATAGAAAAGCTTCGACCTTCTCTAAAGCTTCATTTCCAACTCATCTCTCTCTCATTCTCACGTTCAATAATAATACCTAATATACTACACGTCACTCGGTGAACAGAGGTGGGTCACTGGCCAACAAACGTCACTGCTACATCCGTCTTCGACGCAAAAATCCTCGAGTACTAAACGTTCCCCTCTGATGATAAAACAGAAACCGAGGAAAATCCACGACAACGAAATCCTTCCAGAAAAACGAAAGTAACGATCTCCTTTTCCTCACGAGCCACAACAGGAACACTCCCGCGTTTCCTCAGGTTCGCGTATCCTCCCCTTTCCGCTCTTCTTCTTCATCGTCGAAGGCTCCTTTCGTCCTTTCGATCTCTCACGCCTCGAGGGTACGTGACCACGGAGCTTTTTGGACGCGTTTCACGGTCCGTTTCGCGGAACGAAAACCAAGAAGAATCGATCGACGAGGAACGATCTCACTGATACAGCATTCTCGAGGGTGTGACGTAAGAGGACACCCAATAGAGGAAGGAAGCGTACCATAGGATACCTTCCTGCGCGGCTCTCGCTTCTTGTCTCACGTCTTGGTACCTAGTGTCCTCCATGCCGAGAAGCCTCCTCTCGAAGAAGGTTTTCACGTTGCTCCACATTCTGTAGGGGAGGAAGGCGAAGTGGGCCAGTTCCTGGCTGTCCACGAACGCGTAACAAGAGGCGACCACGTCGTCTATCAGCACCGTTCCTTCCGTGGTCAGAGGAGCGTAGATGCCCTCTTCTAGGACAAGCCGATTGTCGACCACTTTGTCCCATCTCAGACGATGTTGAAGCTTCTTCTCGTCGTCGGCTGGATCTCTCACTAGGATCTTGTCACCAGGCTGAACTCGTCCGGCGAATATCGACGATCTACCTTCGATCGGTACCAAGTGGGCCGGGGTTAAGGTGAGGACACGGCCCGATTCGGTGGTTAACTGGACGAACTGCCTCCTTTCTGTGAGGGAACGGTCCAGGAACGCGATCACCTCGCTGTAGACGATGTCGCCGTGGGAATCGAGAGCGGCTATACGTTCGCCGAGCTGCACTTGGTCCAAGCGCTTCGTCGAACCGTCCTCGGTTCGGACGAGGCTCCTGCCGGGGAAGCAGCCTCCTGATTTCGCCGCCGACGAGGATTCTGGAAGGAGAAAATTCATGGGTTAGAAGAGCGCGAGTTGGTCTTTGATTTTTTTGTTATTAATAGTTTTGGGGATATTGAGATGTGTGTGCGTTTAGTTTCTTGGAAAATTTGGATATTTCTGATGGAGGAAATGTGACAATTTAAATTTAATGGGAATATAAATGTAACTATATGGAAAATTAGATCATTTTTTGGTAATTTAAAAAAAATCGCCCCTAAAGAGGTTGATGAATATAAAGAATATTTAGTGATGAAAATGTGAGAAATACAAACGAAGGATTTTTAGATTATGTTCTATTTTATTTAGAAAAATTGGGGACGCTCGATGTAATTTGTGAGCAATTCACTTTTGGTAATTTGTAGTTTTATTTTGTATCTTTGGATTTTTCTAAAAGTAGGAGCATGTATTCTGGAATATTTTTCATTCATTTTGTGCACGTGTTACATTTATTATAAAGGCTAAGACGAGACTTATAGGTAAATCGACGATGTTTGATAAAGAAGAGTGGCTTTGCTTTCTCTGTAATGAAGACATATAAAAATATAAAAATTGGTCAGTTTATAATTTGTAAATTTATGAAATTTGTTAACCGTAATTTGTAAATTCATTAAAATTTGTTAACCATAATTCGTAAATTTAGTAAAATTTCTGAATTATAATTCGTAAATTTATTAAAACTTCTTAATCACAAATCAGTGGAGAATTTCGAAAGGATTCCAAGATTTTCATCCTGAATTGCAATTGAAGAAATAGAAATCTACTCTTCTTCGTAGATTAATCTTCTCATGCGAGGGAAGCAAGCTGGAAATTGAATGGTTCGATAGGAAGTAATTAAACTGAAGTATCGATTGTTGCGTTCTTGACACCGATTCCAGCACGATTCAATTGTCGAGGCAGCTTGAAAAAACTGGAGAGTTCTAAATCAAATTTTCAACAATTGCCCGTTCAACTGTTCTAAATTATTCTTCGTTTTTCATACACCTTTTGTGATGGGTTGCTTTTGATTAAACTTTCCAACCCACATTAATAATTCATTTCTAACATTTTCTTTTAGAATCATATTCAGTTTTTCAATCAACTCATAAAAATTGCGAAGAAAAATATTTTAACAAGTAATTCATACACCTTTCACTTATTGCTTCAGTGCTTGAATTTATTAAAATTTTCTGCAATTTTTCCAACGAAATATTTCATCAATTTTTCAGATTTTCTTTCAAAACCTTCATCCACCTTTGATTTATTGCTTCAGTGCTTGAATTTATTAAAATTTTATCTGCAATTTTTCTTCTAATAGAATATTTCATAAATTCAATAATCAATTTTTTCGATTTCCTTTTAGAATCTCTATTTTTATTCATGGTTTTAAATCTACACAGAAATCGTGAAGCAAAATATTTCTACAAATTCACCAATGCTTCGCTTTACCTTCTAATTTAAAATTTATCTTTCAACCCGGGGATCGATGACGTCGCGGGAAGAAATTTAAATTCAAACGAGGCTCGCCGTCAATCTTGGACGGCGCGGTATAGACGTGGTCCCGAGGGAAATCGTCCAGAGTTACTTTGACGTCGATGGGGAAGAATCATAGCTGAATATCTCACGGTTAACTCGTTACACGCGCGACTTTTTCAACCGTGTTCGTCTGGTCAACGATAACACCACACCGCGTGGATCCGATTACCTGATCGAACCGGACCAGATTCCTTCCGGTTCGAAAACTCGAACCGCGAATCAATTCCGACGTTTCGCGGAGGAGAGCCGAGTTCTTGGTGAACACTGTGTATCCGTGTTTTCCTGCATCGAGTAATTGTATTAGCTCTGTGAATTAATTGACGAAACGTAGATTTACCCGCTTCTGATAACCCATTTTTAAATTCAAACATTTTCCCGCCTAATGACAATTTAAAAAATATGCTATTTATGTTTACGTAATTTCACGTGAGGTACTAAATTCAAATTTAATATTTTACCACCTTGTGGCAGTTTTAAAAAAATGTCATCTATATTTAAGTAATTTCAAGCGACGTGATAAATTCAAATATAATATTTTCCCGCCTTACGGCATTTTTGAAAAAATGCAATCTGCGAGTACGTAATTTCACATGACATAATAAATTTAAGTACTTTGGCGTCTTATGGCAGTTTTTAAAAAGTGTCATCTATGTTTACGTAATTTTACATGCATTGAAAAATTCAAATTCAAATATTTTCCCGCCTTGACAATTTTTGAAAAAATGCAATCTGCGAGTACGTAATTTCACATGACATAATAAATTTAAGTACTTTGGCGCCTTATGGCAGTCTTAAAAAAGTGTCATCTATGTTTACGTAATTTTACATGCATTAATAAATTCAAATTCAAATATTTTCCCGCCTTGACAATTTTTGAAAAAATGCAATCTGCGAGTACGTAATTTCACATGACATAATAAATTTAAGTACTTTGGCGCCTTATGGCAGTCTTAAAAAAGTGTCATCTATGTTTACGTAATTTTACATGCATTAATAAATTCAAATTCAAATATTTTCCCGCCTTGACAATTTTTGAAAAAATGCAATCTGCGAGTACGTAATTTCACATGACATAATAAATTTAAGTACTTTGGCGCCTTATGGCAGTCTTAAAAAAGTGTCATCTATGTTTACGTAATTCCACAAAAATTAATAAATTCAAATTTAATATTTTCCCGCCTTACGGCAGATTTAAAGAAGTGCAGACTTAACGACTCAATTGAATTTATCCGCAAAAATTTTCGCAGAGGAGAATCGAGTCAGTTAAATATATTCTAGAAGAATAAATCGCAAGAAAGATCGCGAAGAAGAGATCGTTGGAAAAAAAAATGTATCGAAAGATCGATCCGAAAATAGCGTCTGTGAAATTCTGATTTTTCAGATGACCGATCTAAGGAAAATGGAGCAGAGGATACGATGGAAGGATCCAACATGCACCAATGATACTTTCCTTTTATTTTGGCTGACCGTTCCCTTCCAAGTCTCTGTCCTCTCTCGAATATCGTTCTTTCGGCTCGTATCGATTTCGCGGCGATTGTTACGCTGGAATTTAATTTGAGCCGACAGGCGCGTCTAGATTTATTGACATTTATTTTGAAACTCGAGCTCCGAACAACCGACGAAAAAAATTTCTACACCCCCGATTGCTTTCCTTTAAAATTCACGGTCTTCGTCGATTCTCCACGAGAAATCATTCCTTTAAATTGTCTGGAACACTTTTTATGCTAATTATGCTAATATTTTAACCTCCTATATTTTCTATTTAATCTTTCAGATCTTTGATTCAGTAAATGTTGAAATTTATTTAGAAAATGAAAATATTTTAAACAAATTGATAGGTTATTCATATTTTGGAAGAAATATAATTCACAAAGTAGAGAATTTAAAAAAATTTTCTATTCTACTGATTTAACAAACCTTGAAATTTATTTAGAGAATAATAAAATATTAAACAAATTGAAAGTGTATTTAATATCCTAGAATAAACGTAACTGACAAAGTAGAGAATTTTATTTTAAAAGAAATTTCACGAATAACAAAGATTAGTATTTTCTGCAAAATTTCAAGTAACATATTTAACACGGATAAATTTCAAAAGCGATAACCTAAATTTACCGAACTAATTATACTTTACAAACGGTCCGAAATCTAAATTCCTCAATCTGTTAAAAATAATCCGTTTTTAAATTCAAATTTAAAATAACTCTTTCACTTTATTTCCAACTTATGCAGAAAAAGATTGCGGTGAATAATGCCGGCATTATTCTCCTGTTATCTTTGACAGGTAGGTCTCTACACGGCGGACATATTTCACCGGCTTGCTACTCGTGGAATAACTTCTTTCACCGAGCGCGATCATTTTCTGCAATACCCTGATGATCTATGGAAGTCGGTAAAACAGATAACTTCTTCTTAGCGGCGGAACCAGTGGCGCAGCAAGTGTCGGTCTTTTGTGAAGCAGTGGTTCTCTTTCAGAAAATTCTCCCGTACGTAAATCAACGAGAGTAAAAGTGAAACGATACTAAAGTAACAAATACCCTATTATTTTTCTCCAGAAAAAAAAAAAAAAAAATTTCATATTACCATTAATTGCTGTCGAATAAAATAATTAATTTTTTACAAAAATGTTTAACCATAATACAATTTAAACCTGTTTTTCATTTAGAAGATCTTACATAAAGTGAGCTAAACATTTACCCCAAATGAATTATAGAATGAGTGTGAAATAGATAAATAAATGAAAATTTTCTTCGATTCTCTTCTTGCGATAAGAATTTCTGTAAAATGCAACAGGAGGGAAAATCTGTTGACACGATTCTCTAGAGAACCTATTGTAATCGCGAAGGGACGATAAGAAGCGTCGATATCCGTGCTCGTCGAATTGTAAACATCGAGAGCGATTTAAAGAGAAATTAGGTGGCCAACACGACTCGCGATAACATCGGTACGTGACTCGTTCACTGGCTCGCCAATGTTATTTTCGGCATAACGGATGAAGTAACCGTGACAAAGCGAGAAACGAAAACGCGCGTCCTCGGAGAAATGTTGATTGATCGCGATAACACGGTTTTATTAGGGACCGATTGGTGAATTTGGCTAACTTCGAGCTGGCGAACGAATTCCTATTGTTTGTCGTTCAAACGTAAATAAGCTAATTCGATTGTGTCGGTCGATATTTTTGGATCCGATGGAAGTGTCAGATTTTTGCAATTTTTTTTTAATAGGAGTATGTTTTTTTATCCTTTCAAGGGTTTTTTATAAAATATATTGCACGAAAGAAATTTTTAAGTATGAAATTGTGGAATTTTAAATGTAAAATAATAAATGGAATTTCAAATGTAAAATAAAATAGTAAATGAAATTTTATATGTTAAATTGTTTATTAGATTTCACAGTATATTTCTGCAGTGAATGAATTTCAATTTAAAACTTTGAGAATTTAACAATAAATTTCCGAACGAACAATTTGGAAAAAAAGATTTATTCACGTACCTAACTTATAAATAAAAATACTACGCAAACGTCGATTAAAACCTTCAATAAAACTGACTCACATTTCGAGACTTTAGCCAAACTGAATCCTCGACCAACAACACTTCATACTTCGTTTATTTGCATTTTCAATTATCGTCTATCTTCCGACCAATAATTCTACATAAATATCTCGATATAAATTTCAACGATGATGTAAGAATAAATATACAATATTTGACCGAACAATTATCACGAACATGTACTTATACAAGAAGTAAACACCGAATGTGTGAATTCGCAGTTTTTTCAATTCCATTATAAATTGTCCCAGACGTAAAACGAAGGACGTGTGAATTAAAAAGTTTCCCGTTTTATCGCCTGTTTAACCCTTTGACGCAGGTATAACAACGAGTCAGACTCGTGCCACAGATTTTGGTCAAGGTCTGATAAAAACAGCTGTATCTTGAACGAAAATTAATTTCAATTCCAGTTTTTTCCATTTAATTTATAAAATCGAAAATTGCCAAATTTAATTAACCCTTTAACAGCCAAAATTCCACCGTTTTTGAAATTCACTTTACGTTTTATACAAACAGTATCGTTTCATTAGAATTTTCCTGTTTTTCTTCTTCGTTCTTTTCCACCATGCGCGAAAGTGAAATATTCTTATTACACACTACCGGCCAAAAGACTGGAATCACTGTGCATTGCAAGTTACACAAAAATTCGCAGAAAAAAGTCAGCAGCCTTACGAATTTTTTAACGAATTTTGTATCATTGAAATCAATCGATACGAGGTAAATTGCTATTTATCTCCACAATATCAATATCAAGTCTATGAAAAATTAGTAGCAGATGCAGTAACGGTGAAAATTGGGAGGCGATTCGAAACTTTTCGCCGGTAGTGTATGTAGAAAAATAAAAGTGTTTCTCGAAAAATTGTGCTTCGTCCCAGATTGCAAGCATTTATATAGTAAAATGAAGAAATAAAGAAAGGTGGTAATTTTTACACGTTTTTGTAAAATTCAGTGAGATTGTTAACCCTACTGCGTTCTTCGTTTCGACTGTACACTTAAGACTTTCGGGTCAAAAAGGACCTAGGACCTTGTGTGAAGCAATTTTTGTTCCCAACGCGACATACGAACCTAGACGATGAACGTTTAAAATAATGTTAAGGAACGTAAACTTGATAACAGCAAAAATGACTAAAAATACAAAAAGGCGGCGGGTCAAAAAAGACCCGAGGACCGCTTTAGGGTTAACGGGTTAATCTGTAATGCAATAGCTTTTCATACTTAACACTTTACCGACCGGAAGCCTGTTAATCAGGTTTTCGCTGCCAACGCTTAGCGCTCTTTAATGTTATTAAGTTTAATTTCCCTATAATAAGAGAAAGCGGACGATATAGTAGGCACTCTCGCGGATTTTAATTTAAAATTTGTACAGCTGTAGGAATAAGCGCTTATATTCCCACACGGTAGTAAAGTCGGAGCCCGAAAAGAGTTGAACTACGAGCTGTCGGTAAAGTGTTAATACAGTAGGGGGAGTTCCCTTGACGCCGGACTGCACCTAATATCGGACATTAGCTGTATCTGTAATAATTGAAACGCTACCGAGCCGAAGACAAAAGGAATAAAAATAAGTTTCCTACGCGTTTCAGTCGCGAGTGCACAGGTAGAGAGATTTATTTAAGAAAAACCTTAGGCGTCCGGCGCTAGGGGAACTTCCCCTACTGAAACAGTAAGTAGCTGACATTTAGGTGACTTGTCAGGAAAAGAAATTATTTACCATATTATATTATTCATATTAACCCTTTCGCGACGGCGGAACTAGCCATCGGTACGCCACTAACGAACGGGTCGTCGTGCCATTAGTGCACACCATGCACATTAAGAGTGTCTCGCGTTTTTTCAAATCTTAGAGGATTTCGTTGGAACAGCAGAGGACTTAAGGGTGTATCGGATAAAGGGAATGTTGTTGAGGCCTTGTTCTGTATTTTAAAATAAATCTTCGCTTTGGAGGCGCGAGCCAATGCGACGCGCTTAGTAGATGCCGGATATAACCGGCGCTAGCCAGTGTGAAGCATTCATGTTAAGAGAATAATGAACAAAATATACTGACCAGACTTGACGGAACAGTGGATGTGCGACCTGGACTCGTAGTAGACCCAATCGAAACCAGCTTCGACAGCGAGCCTCGCCAGCATTCCGTATTTCGAGCGATCCCGATCGCTCGTCGTCACGTCAACGGCACGTCCCTCGTAATGCAACGAATCCGTCGCGTGCTTACCCTCCTCGTCCCACCCTTCTGTCACCCTTAACTTCACCCCCGGCCATTGGTTCATTACCGAGATAGCGAGGGTGTTCAACTTCTCCTTGCACCTCTGCAACAGAGAACACTTTCACGGTTATTCTTCATTTGATAAAAGAGGATTTGTGAAAGGAAGACGAAACATCAGAGATCAACAAGCTAATATCGTACAATGATGAATTATGAAAAAATCCAACTTTCTTGGAAACTAGGCAAACGATCGAAAAATTTTATTCCACATTTTTTACTTATTTTCTTTACAAGAAATCACTGGTTGCGTCGCGATTTACAGGACACTCGGTGTAATGGAAAAGGGGTAAGTTACGTGATGACCTAGATCCAACATTATTAAATAACGAGTGTCACAAACAGATTAGAGCAATTTCATTCTATCACATAATGAAAGTGTAACAGACATTTGTCTTCAAAAAGGACTTCTGAAAAAAGCATACACAATTTCACAAAATTACCTAAACATCATAGAGCCTTAACCCCTTGAACTGAAATTTATTTTCAGGCAGACAATTTAATTTTCTTAGTTTTAAGAGGAGGGATTGATATAGAAACTTACGGTTTTGTTGCTCAAATAATTTGTTACTAGTAAAAATAATATTTGTTTCATACATTTACACGAATGTTTGTTGTTAGACCGAGGCGAGCTCACGTGAACGTGTAAGATTCAACACCTCCGAAAAAATGTATGACTTCTATAGACGGATATCACTAGCAAAATAACCGCTATTGCACTTCGTTAGTATGTCGTGTCGTGCATTTACTTTACGCGAGACTGGCTGCATTCAAACTGTTACTAGAAGCATGCAAACAAATGTATCAAAGCAAAAGACTAGCTATGACTTACATACATATACATACTTCTCATATAAAAAGCTTCAACTCTCAATAATTTCTGACGAGTGCAGTTGTCTGTTTGCTCAAGAAAGTTCAAGACTCGTCATTACAGTTCAAGTGGTTAATATATAAAACATAATAAATTTTCATTGACAAAATCTCACAACTTTCTTACCAATAGCGGTACAGTATGACATAACAGCCACCCTTGTGTAATACCTACACCCAAACATATTTACCACCCTTCACTTCCCAAAGTCAAACACCTTAAATCACGCCACTAAAAAATCTCATAAATTCCTCATCCGACACAAACACACACAATATTTTCCCTCTGTTCCTTTCACCGCGAAAAAATTCTCCAAACTATCAAACCGAATCACACTGAAAACCCCGTTGAAAATCCTTCTCGCGTAAAAAGGCACCCCCAAGCGCGAGTCCAATCCTTGCTCAACCTCAGCTTCCACCTGAGAAACGCAAACAAGAATTGTCCCTCGACAAGCCAGCTTTTCATCTCTCTTTCACTGTGTTCGTAGCCAGTTTTCCCCGAAGTGTTCCGCTTAACGCGATTTTCCTTCGGAGAGACAGGCGCGTCCGGAGAGGATTCACGCGATTTCACGCGGATGCGCGCGGAAAAAGGTGTCGCGCCGCGTGCAACCTCTCGTCCAGGTAAACGAACGGCCCCCCAGGCTAAGAGATTGCGATGGAAAACGAACGCGTGTTTTGACCGGGTGACCAAGGTTTGGAAGTTTTCAACGGATGGAAAGAGGAGGGAGGGAGAGACTTTAAGCGTCGAGCCCGTGGCGAATCAGGAGGCAAACAGGAGTATAAATACGACCGGTGTCGAGGATCATTCGGTCACGGTGATCTTCTTCTTTCCATTTTCTCTCCTCTTAAGAGGAGAGGCTCTTTCTATTGCTCGCTACTCTCGTCTACCTGAATGATACGCAAGCACCCACAGCGGTCAATAGAGCACGCGAGAAAGCGTACACAAACAGGATACCGTGACTTCGCGCGACGGGAAGCTACGTGTAAACCCGGCTTAAGCCGGAACGCGGCCATTTGGGGGCGCGAGAAGCTAAGAAGGACCTCCCTGTCTCCCATGGAAATTGTTCCGGACTGTTTTGTGCTTTCTTCTGTGCCGTTTAAATCGACTTCGCCAGGGATAATCGCGTGGATGCTTTAACGAAATTTTCACACCTGGGTGGAAGTCACTCTTTTGGGGAAATAGAAATTACAATACGACGTGTTAACGAAGAATCTGCATTTGTTCAGTATTATTGTTAATACATTTTTGAAAATTCTCTGTACGAGTATTAAAATTTTCTAGAACCACTCTATAGCATGGGTGTGCAAACTTTTGGCTCGCCTGGGCTACATCGAGTGTGGAAGAATCGTCTTGGAAATATATAAGCAACGAAACTTCCTTTATTTCTTATACTTTTTATTACAACGCAATCGAGTCGCGAAAAATAACGTTAAAAGCCCGCAAGCTCGCAGGGCAGCGTTACTTGCCCTCTAGGGCAGCATGCAGCCCGCGGGGCCGCGAGTTGAACACACCCGCTCTACGCCGTTAAAACCGACAACAAAACGTGTCACGTTAACAAATATCTATTTCCAACAAACTACCTATAACCTACAAAAGCATCTTCTCAATATATCTCGTCTACAGATCCCAAATGCTCAAGAAGTCGACATTACCTAAAAAAATTGCCAAGCACTCAGTGTCCATTTGCCAACAATCTTATCTCGCGAGACGTCTAGAGATCTGTTTGTAAAATGAAAAGTTCGTTGTGCGAGAAACTTTTCCCCCACGCAGCGTGTCTCCTCGCGAGTGGTTCTGCAGCTCTCTCGAGAGGATTAAGGGCGGCTATTGAACGCGGCGCGATATCTCGTGACACCCAGCGTGGAGCGGAGCGATGCGTGGCGTGGAAGGCGAAGTCGTGCACAGCCCGTTTCATTGAGAGAGGCGGGCCGCGTTAATGGGAATTCATCCGACAGCCGATGGGCGTGCGGATTCGCTTGCGGAGATCACGTGCACGTGGCCGTGACACCGTGGCGGAGAACGAGTCCGCTTTTCACCCGCGACCGCGAGATTTCGCCGAAGGGGAGGAAAAGGGAGAGAGCGTGAGAGGTGAGAAACGGAGAGAGAGGAGAAGAAGAGAAGAAGAAGGCGGGACCGGTCCCTCGAGCTGTCGTGCACCGCTCAATAGGGGCTAATTGCCGCAAGGAGAGCTGCAAATTCGCGGTATTGTAAGGCTCGTCTCGTTTTCGTGGCTGCTGTCGAAGCGAGTCGCATTGTCGGCTCTCTCGCGAGTCTCTTCAACCACCGCGCCGTTTCAATGGAACGAGAAAATTCGACGTGCCACGACGTACCTTTGCTCTCTCTCTCTCTCTCTCTGTCACTTTGCAAACGTTCTTGCGAGCAGCTTTTTTTGCTGCAACTGTCTTCGACTCAAAGTGACGATGGTACGTAGCTAGTCGTGGAGGAAAGAAGTTAGAGGAGGTTTTTCTTTAACCCTTTCGTTGCTCTTGGTATCTGTAAAAAGTTTGAAAAATTGCTTGCTCTATGCTGTTCGCGATTTTTTTTGATAAATTGAATACCTTATGCTTTTATCTTTACTATTGCCTATATCGTTGCACAAATTTATTGGTAAATAATTATTTTTGGTACAACATGTGTCCCTTTCATTGAAAAACTGCAAATCCTCCATTGAGTCATCCTCATCGTTCATTTTTCGTTCTTTTTGGAATTACTAATATATCGTTCGATTTTTGCAACTGCGCGAAGTCTCGCGGGAATCGACTTCCCTCGCGCTATTTATCAAGGAAAAATCACTTGAAAATGGGGAATCACAATGGCGGAATTACTGTGCAAACTCGTCGAGTCGAATAATATTTCAGAGTGCTTAAGAAAAATGTTAACACTTGTATGGAGAATTTGCAAAAGAGAAGAAGATTGCAAGAATTGCACTTTAAGCGAGGGTAGAAAAATTATTTGGATAATTGTATTTTTCTCGAGAAGAAAGGGGTGCTATATAAAAATTAAGCGATGGTTGCCTTCGAGTTATCGACACTGCTTCGTTACGGGCAATAAAAATGCAAGGATTGTGTAATAAAATTGCTAAATTATTGCAAACTAAATATTTAAACTTGGGTTTTTAATGAAGACATCGACACACGAGACGCGACAAGTACGGTTAATTTATTGTAGTAATTGTTGTCTTTTGGAAGAAAAGATTTTCCGCAGAGTGAAAATGTATTTTGTATATATACAGAGGAACGAGAATATTACGATACTATTAAACGATTATTAACCGACTATAAATTGTAATAGTACAGAGTGAACGATCGCTAACTTTTACTCTGAAGGAAACTTGTTTCAATAATTATTACTGTACATGACAGAATAATTTATAGGCTAGAAATACTGCCTTGGTGATAAAAATATTTTATCGGTATCAATGAATAAGATAATTACAAAGTGAACACCGAGCGATTGTAGGTTTTAACGACAGGTTGTAAATAACTTTATCGCTAATAAAGTGGAAATTATTTTTCGCTAATTGCCGGAAAATTTTCTAACTCTGAATTTAACTGTGATTTATCAATGTACGAAAAATTCTGGTTTAATAAAAATTTAGGAGCGATAAATACTAAATTGCAATTAAAAAACAAATCTAAAATCTTAGAAGAGTCAGATGGTAATATGTAAAATTTTTTAAATCATTTTTCATTTCATTTCTTGTTGGTATTGACCAAAAAATTCTGTTTTATTAAAAATTATAGAGCAATAAATACTAAATTGCAACTGAAACAGAATGTAAAATCTTAGAGTCAGATAATAATATGTAAAATTTTTTAATCAGTTTTCGCTTCATTTCTTGTCAATATTATCCAAAAAATTCTGTTTTATTATAAATTGAAGAGTGATAAATTTTAAATTGCAATTAAAAATAATTTTAAGCCTTAGAGGAGTCAGATAATAATATGTGAAATTTTTTAAATCATTTTTCACTTCACTTCTATTATCGATATTGTCCAAAACATTCTGTTTTATTAAAAATTGAAGAGCGATAAATTTTAACTACCATAAATACTAGAAAAAAAAAATCTATATTCTTAGCAGAGACAGATAATAATAAGCGAAACGTTCAAAATTTTTCCCCGTTTCATTTCTTCCCACATTCACCGACAGATCGGGCAAAATGGCGCCATATGTTC